GGGGAGTAATATCTAGAATACATAAAATACTCAAAAGAATTAGAGCTGCAAAAAAGACCCTATCAAAAAATGTACAACTAGCCAGGTATGGTGGCACACGCCTGTAATCCCAGCACTGGGAAGGCTGAGGCAGGAGGATTGCTGTGAGTTCAAAATCAGCCTAGCCTACATAGTGAGTTCCAGGTCATTCTCAACTACATAGTGAGACCCCGTCTCAAAAAAAAAAAAAAAAATGGACAACTGAACCAAATAGACACTTCTTGGAAGAAGAAACACAAAAGGCCTATAACTGGAAGGAAAAAATGTACAACATCGCTGGCAATGAGAGAAATGTGATTTAAAACATTTAGATTTCATCTTATGCCAGAAAGAATGGCTGTCGTAAAGAAGACAAATAATAAAAATGCTGGAAAGGCTGTGGTGAAAATCAACCCTTCTACATTACTAGTAGGAATGTAAACATGTTACAACCATGGTGGAAATCAGTATGGAGATGCCTCAAAAAACTAAAGCTAGAAATTCTATCCAACCTATTTCCCCTACTAGTTATCTTCCCAAAAGAGTTAAAGACACCATATTACAGTGACATATGCATACCTATGTTTATAGCATTGTGATTCATGATAGTTAAATTTTGGAAGCAGTCTGTATGTACATCAACAGACAAGTTGATAAAGAAAATGTAGTATCTATACACAGTGGGATACTGCCTGGCTACAAGGGACAGATTTGAGTCATTTGTAAGAAAAATGGAGAGCCTTGAGATAATAATGTTAAGTGAAATAAATCAGACACATGATCTTAAATGCCATATGGTTTCTTTGATATGATAAATTCAAAGTATAAATAAGATAAAAAGCAAAATAAAAAATAGATAAAAGGAAATGAGGAGATGGATCTTTTGCAAGTGGGAAGGGCATTGGGAGATGGAGGGGAAGGGGGGGAAGGGGATGTAAAAAGAATTAAATGCGTCATCCACATGTGCTAAATACCCACAACGAAAGTAGTCATTATGCGTTGCAAACATGTACTAATAATTTTTAAAACAAAAATCTAAATAAATAATTTTAAATCAATAGCCACACTCTAATAGGTAAGGACATCGTGCATCCACCCAGCAGCCCCACAGAAAACTGAAATATAGTCTGTCAAAAGCTCAGCTCAACAATGTTTTTTCCACCCACTAAAAATTAGCAATGCTTCTGTCCTATCCTGACTCAGTAAATGTTACCTCACATCACCCTCATTGCTCATTACAGCTAAATCAACTGCTCGTCTTCATACCCAGACACTGGCCACCAAGTCCTAACAATTTTACCTCCCTAAGCAAGTTAGCCCATGACTTCCCCTCCCTCCTCATGGCCACTGTCCTGATTCAACCTTCATTATGAGCATAGCTGCAAACATCTACCCAGCCTCTCTGGACCTAATTTTTAATCCTGGAACATCACTCTTCTTATTTTAAGTGAATGGAATTTGTAAAAACAAACACATAGACAAACAAAATCTTATACTCATTATCAAACACTGAGTGTCTGCTGTGCATGGGTCTTTGGCCTAAGTGCTTGGGATACCTCAATAATCACAACAGCAATCTCTGACCTGGTGGACTCACAGTCTTGTAGGAGATGAAAGACAACAAACATAATAAGTGAAACACTATTCTGGAGCTGGTCAGTGCTGTGGAAAAAATAAGATAAAGAAATTAAAGATGTCCAGTGTGCATATGTGTGCAAACACATGTGAATGTGTGTGTACAACTTTCAATAGAGCAGCCAGGCTAGACCACTGAGAGGTTTGCAGATGATCATAGGAAGAAAGGAGTGAGACATGTGAGTTTCTAGGGGAAAAGCACCCCTCACGGAGAGGAGAGCTAGAGATGTTTCCTAGGTTCAGCATCCCGGGATAGAAGAGCCAGCAGTCTGGGGTGGCTGGGGCACATGAAGGATGGGTGGAAAAACACTGCCCACCATGTGTGAAGCCCTGGGTTCCATTCCCAGCACCACGCCAAAAAAAAAAATTATATCTTTTCTAAAATTAAGAAAATATTGATGAAAATACAGAAATTTTTATCAGAATGGATAACAAACAACAATGAAATCCTTATTTATTGACTTTGTCTCACATCAATTAATTCACACACAGGAGACTGTTTCCAAGCAGTAACTTAACAAAATTTAAAGGTTTTCCCTAGAGTTTTATCTCTTGAAATATGAATGCATATTTCAAATAGGTTACCTTTGATTTGATTACCATCACATCTCTTTCTGCCCCATTTTTCCCCAGCGGCCTCTTCCCAGACCTTAAATGTACCCAAGAAAAAGTTATGTAGATGGCAAGCGGTACTATGATGAAGAGGTTAGTGGAAGCAAACCTAAAAGTTTTAACTTGAGAGCAATTTTAAGAAGAGAAGATCAATTTAATGCCCCACCACCACCAAAGTGAGCTGAAAGAGTCTCACAGCACCACAGAGGAAGAAGCAGGCTGAGACATACTTTCTATTTGCTCAGTTGTAGGTGAAGAAACACTTCATAGGGTAAGAAAAGCAGGCTTCAACAATGATTTTTCAAAGAGATGAGGTCAGATGCACTGGAGCATTGCTCTGGAAGCCTGGTGAGGTAACACAATAAAATAAATCTTTGAAAAACCATTCCGTGGCTTAAATGGAGATTTTCAAGTATTCAGTGTTAGTTTCTAAGGTAGTATTGCTGAGAGAAGGAGAAAGACAAGGTGTAGATTTTGTGAATGATGAAGTTTGGAGAGTGAGATCTATTCAATCTATTAACTTTCTGGACTCTTGGCTGGGTGGGTGGAGGATACAGGAGCTTGAGTGGAAAGTTTCAGGAAACTCAGCAGCAAAGAACTTCATCAGGAAATAAGGGGCCTAATAGAAAGATGTCTCTAAGAAGCAAAGAAACCTGGCAGGAAGTCCATTCGGAGAAAAAGTGAGTCCTGACACAGACTCTCCCTCACTCCTCCAGGAAATGAGAAAGTCTAGCAAGAGCCACAATCAAAGCAAAAGTGTGCACTGAATGATTGTTGGTTTAGGAAACCAAAGTGTCTTGCTTGTTTGATGGGGCCACTATTTACTCAAAATTCTCAAGAAATCACCTTTTAAAAGATTGAAACATACAAATTTAATACTTGAAAAGTAGTCAAAAGCAATAAATCTTAAAGGAAAATATTTAAATGTTACTTCTGTGCTAATGATTAGAAAGTACAGGAGAAAAAAAACTTTTTTATGATAAACCTAATAAAATAGGAAAACAATTCCAGGCTGGGCATCCCTAATCTGGACATCCCAAACCTGAAATGCTCCAAAATCCTAAACACTTGCATGCTGAAATGACACCACAAGTGGAAAATTGTACACCTGAACTCATGTGACAGATTGGAGTCAAAACTCAGATGCAGTCGAGTCTTTTGGAGGTTAAGCGTAGAATGTTATGGTTTGTATCTAGATGTCCCCCAAATCCTCATGTGCTCTTAGATGGGGCTTTTTGGAGCTGGCTGGATCTAGGGTGTGGTGCTAAATTAGTCCACTGATTGGAATTAGCATTGTCTGGGTGTGGCTGAATGGATTTCCTGAAGTCACCCTGGGTGTGGGTGGCACCACGTAAAAAGCTTGTAGCCTGTATAGGATAAAAGACAGAGGCAGGTTGCTGCTGCTCCTGCTTCACTGTCTCCTGCCTACTTCGGCATGGACTGTTTCTCCTCTGCAGCAGCCCCTCTGCCATGCCACCCTGCCTTGGAGCTGTTGACTATGGACTGAAATCTTTATAAACTGTGAGCTGAAATAAACCTCTCCTCTTAAAAAAAAAAAAATTAGATGCAGAGAAAACATTGGATAAAATTGCAGTTAGGCTCTGTGTCCCAGATATATACAAAACATAAATGGACTTAGTGATTAGATTTGGGTCCCATCTCCAAGGTGTCTCATTATGCATATACAAGTATCTGAAAAAAACTAACGTATGAATCACTTTTGCTGCAAGCATCTCAAATAAAGGATACTCCCCAGATGCATCACCTCCTAGTGGATAGCATCATCACAAGGTTGTGTGTGAGAAGGAGGGCCCACATGGTAAGACAGAATGCCAGACAGCCTGCAAAGGGACCAGTCTTCTTCTTTTGTAATAACCCTGTCATGAGAACTAACCAAACTCCTGTGAGAACTACATTAATTCCTTCAGAAGACCACACCCCCAAAGACTCCCACAGGGCCCCACCCCAGAAAGGTTTTGCCACTTCTAAGGTCACCACACTGGGGACAAAGCTTCCACCATATGAATCCCTGGCGGACAAACCATAGCATTCAGCTTTTTTGGCAGGGAGGAAGGGGGGATGGCAGTTGGGTAGACAGCCAAGGTGCCCTCCACTCCTGACCATGTGCAATGTACCAAGGGTTCTACTCCTGCCTCCACTGTGGGAAGGACACCCAGCCTTAGAGGACTGGTGTTAATTACTCAATAATTCCAGAGCATTTATAACATGCAAGGACATTGCTGCTGCTGCCATCTGCCTTCATGCAGAAGTGACCATGAGCAATGTCCACTTCATTGTGGGACTGGCTTTGAAAGCCTGCTGTCTTCTACAAGGCTACCCAAGTCCCAGGTGGAACACACAAGTATAGTCCTGGAGTTCTGACCCATTCCATATTTTTTCACTCCTTGGCCCTTACTGGGGAAGCTCTTTTGCCTTCCAGTTATATACCTCTCTTGAGAAAATAAAAGCAGCACACATCAAATGTGGCATTTACACACTTGGTTTTTCTAGAATCCAGAAAAGAGAGAATGTAAATAGTCTGGAATGTTCAGACAGGTCCCCGTGGATGAATTAGTGAGGCCTTGGAGATCGGGAAGAATGTACACAGGTGAAGAGGTGAGAGAGCAGGACATTCGTGGCTAAGAAGTGCCTGAGGAAAGGCTGCCAGTTGAAAGGAGGATGTAGAAGAGCCAGTTTTTCTTATCTTTTTGAGATTTTTATGCTTTTCTCCTCAGAACTTGGAAAAAGATGCCCAAAGTTGAGAACATGCCAAACATCACCATTCATTATGCTATGGCCAATCCAAACGTGACCTACATCCGTTGGAAAGTTCATGGAGACTGGGTTACTCAGGTAAAAATGCATCTCTATCCAGATGTGCCACATAAACAATCAAATAAGAATAGTATTCATGTGTATTAATAAGTCACCATTGCTCCTGTGACAACTTCCTAAACCTAGATGAAAACAAACAAAAATTAATATTACATGAAATACACAGAATGGTACAAAGAATGATAAACAGCTGGTTTCTAGAAGATAGTGACATTGTTCAATTTGAGCTCCCTGGTGGGATAGGTTTGGGGGTCTTTCAGTCTAAAGATAGTAGGTGGCTTTTCCTTCCTTTTATAGGGGTAAGAGTCAACTAAATGACCAGGAATTATATACATGAGATTGTGTCCCTGAGAATTGCACTGGCTCTGAGAAGTTAAAGTAGTACTTCTCAAGTGTATAATAAAACAAGACATTGTTCTTTATATTAGGAGAGCCCAGAAACCATATGTGAGTAGGAGTGGCAGCCCAAGGGACAGGAAGGGGAGCAGGAGTCCTGGGTATTGATATGACAAGTATATCCAATAAAGAAACGCAAGGTACCAAAGGTTCATCCCTCTTTCTGAATACACTAGGCTTACTCCACACAGAAAAGTTTCTACATTAATAAGACTTATGCAAGAAAAGAATGATAAGAAGAATTATTAAATGGAAGAACAAAATAGGAAAATCATCAAACTCTTTTGATACATGAAAAAGAAAATTAAAGGTGAAGAAAAATTGGATTAAGAGAGAATAGCATTTAACTAAAATATAGACACCAACAACATTTCAAAAATAAATGGAAGAAAACAAAATATCAACCCCGCAGAACAGAAATGAGAATTAGGAAAACCAGACAAAGAAGAAAACAATAATCTGACCAAGCAAGCACATGTAATAGTATGATGCACTTCTTATGGGTGGTTTAAATGAGGTTTCTTTTTTTCTTCACCTTCATTAGGTACAATTTATATATTACAAATGCATCCATCTCACATGTACAGTTTACTGGTAGAAAGTTTATTGAGCTGTAGAATTATCACCATGATCCAATTTTGGAACATTTCTGTCATCCCATAAGATCCTCCAACCCATTTCCACCCCATCTCCTGGAAGCCACTAATCTACTTCTTGTCCCTGTGTTTATTTTTGGTAGAACATTTCATGGGAGGATACAATACGTGCATGGCCTCTATGTCTAGCTCTTTCCATTGTACATAAGGGAGATCTTTATTAAGTGTGGGGATCCACCCCTGGACATTTCTCCTCTGTTTGGCTCTGTTCAGTCCTCTGTGTGCCCAGAAGGTAGAAGGAACAATTCCAAGAAGCAAAACAAGTGTTTCCTGAGGTCAGTTTACCTAGAAGGCTAGGGTGGGGAGAAGAGTCTGCACTGTGGGAAGAACACAAAGTCAGGAGAGTGTTGACATCAGCAGTGTAGACATGGAACCTGATGAAAAGTGAGTGCATGATGGGAAAGTTCTCCAGCCCCAGCTGTCTTGTTCTGCCTCGTGCCTCAGGAAGTGTGTTCATGACCTTGATTTCTGGAGAGAATGCCACATGAGTCACCTCAGGGGACCCTTCTCCAACAAAGAAAAGGTGCAGGGCAATTCCAGAGGCCTGCAATGTTCTGCTCTGTGGATGGCCCTTCAGCCACTCAGTCCTGTTGTCTTTGGTCCTAAAGTCCAGACACCCTCTTTTCCCTCTGAACATACCTGTCTTCTTTCCATCCCTTTGGGTCTCTGGTTTACCACTGCATAAGGGTTAGAACCAAAGTTTATCTTCTTTGCAGTCACTTCTGAGCTTAGCATTGTGTCTGCAGCAACCAGATGATGAGCATAGGTATTATCCTTGCAGCTCAACTGTCATTCTGCCAATACTCTTATGGCTTATCTGATTTTCCACGCGTACTCTTAACAAGGCCATCCACTGGAAAAGAAGGTGGCCCGGGGGAAAACTCAAATTCCATCAAATCTGTTACTTCACTCTTGACGTGGCCTTGGCTGTCCATCATGGTTCTGCCCCAAAGCCCTGGCTCTCCAGTCCTCACACACTTTGAGAGCCTAGCTCTTGATTTTCAAAAGTGCCTCTCAGTATGATACTCAACATTACTTCTAATGTGAAGATGATCTCTAGAGAAGGACAAGTTGTTTTCTGTGTAAAATCCCCTGCCACATGTGGGCAGTATTCAGACTTTCTCAGAACAACTAAAATAGGCAGCACAGTCTGACAGGCAGGATGCCCAGGATTATATGTTCTGGTGTTAGCCTCAAGCAGTGCAAGGGGAAGGGACCAGAATGCGCTCCACACTCCACCAGGCCACCTACACACGTCTGTCCCACAAATGGGTGCTTTTAAAAAATGTTCCTGTCCTCAAAACAAGTGGTTCCTCTCTCTGTCTCACGTGTTTGGAAAGAATGCTTTAGACATTGTTGCAAACTCTCACTTAACCTGGTGGGTGATCATTATATTAATTAGTGTTTTCTTACTTTTTTTTTATTTCTAGCTGAACTACTATGATTCTATGAAAGCCATCATTTCCAGCTCCAACCACGAACCTACTGCTCTAGTAATAGGTACTGCTCCCACTGTGTCACATTTGTGATGTTCTCTTTCTGGGTGTCAGGTCCTTGGAGGTCCACCCTTTATTGTTTCTACATTGCAATGAGCATCCCATACTCTGCTAATAACTCCTGTGATGACCCCAAAATGGGACCTCCTCTATTGTTTAGTGTGTTCTTAGTTTCCTAGTGCTCAGAAAAAATTTAGAAGTTGTAGAAAGGGAAGAAGAAGAAGAGAGAAAAAGAGATAGAGAGTGATAGAAAGAGAACGGGAAGGAAGAAGAAAGGGAAGATGCCGCCATTTGAGTACCTTTAGTGCATTATATGATATTAACTACACAGGGATATCTACATGGAACAGTCAGTACAGGACATTTTAAAAAGTGGACTTTGGGAATTTGCAAGAATTCAAAAAGCATGAAGACTCAGCACCTGGAGACACATGGAATTTCTGGAAGCTAGACTTAGACCAAGTGAATGCCAAAAAAGGCTAAGGGAGAGCCCAGGGTATCATCTTAGGGAGGATGCCAATGTCGTAGCCTATTTTCTGTTGCTATAACAGAATACCACTGATTGGGTAACTTATTAAGAAAAGTCTATATTGACTCATGATGCTGGATCCTGGAAGTCCAGAAGTACAGAAACAGCATCTGAAGAGAGGTTTCATGCTACATTATTTCATGGTGGAAAAGTGGAAGAGCACAGGAGAGTGTGTGGAAGAGCTCACTTTCATAACACAATCACTTCCAGGAGAACTAATCCACACTCAAGAAAATGGCCTAAAGCCATTCTCTTTTTCTCTCATTGAGTTTATTGGTACTTATTAATTATATAGTATAGTTACACTCATCATTGGGATCTTGTACTTTTACGTGACAGGTCTTAGTTCTCATCTTTTCTCCATTACCCTGACCCCCCCTTCACCTTCTCCACCCTTCCATATTTACAAAGACTTTGTTTCCATTTTTTTTCTTTTCTCATAATTTTTTCTTTTCCTTTATTTCCTGTCCCCACCCTTCCCACTTCCCCTACACCTTTAGCCCTTTGGCCTTAATCCATTCTTGAATGTGATATACTTACAGCCAAAACACCTCCCATTAGGCCCTAACTCCCCACACACATGAACTGGGAATTAAGGTGCTAGCACATGAATTTTTAACCCCAGTGCACAGTTAAGCCTGGGCGTGGATTTGACCAAGCTGATCTTGAGTCTATGCTACTCATGGGGGAGGACATACATCTCACCATTGAGCGGGTTTTAAGGAACAAGCTGGTCTATAGTTGAACTAGGAATCCAACCCCTTTTATGATAGATACTTCCTAAGCACCAACTCATGGTCTGAAATAGATGCAGCCCTCTGACTGGCCCTGGAGTTAATTGGAATATTTCTTTAATTTCCATAAGCTCTATCCTATGTGCCTTACATGTATTTAATCACTGTAACAATTGTATGGTTTACATCCCACTATTCACTTCATCTCACAGATGAGTCAGATAAGCTACAAAAATAATTAGGATATTGTTCATAGGTATTTGCGTTGTACTGACAGAAATTCAACTCAAACTGAGTTAAGCAAACAGAAGAATTTTGGGAATGGCTCATGTCACATATGAAGGGCAGGAAAGCAAAGTATCTCCATATTGATATATCCCAGAAGCAAGGACTCAAATGCTGCTCAGTCTCTGAGTTTCTCATCTGATTCCCTCTGCACACTAGTTTCCTCACATAGTAGTGAGCCAATGCCTTATACATCTTTGCCACCAACAGTGGCTGGCTAACACCCTTGGTCCCTATGCAACTACACTAAGGAAAGGTCTCACTAAAACAAGATGGCCATCTGTGGGACAATCATGATTAAACAGAGCCATGATGATCAGAGGGCATAAGAACCAGAAGTGCCCATTCAAGCTGCAAGAGTTCAGGAAGGATGTACTTTCCAAAAGTGGGGACTTGGAGGAAAGATTTACTAAAATCTTTAAAGAAAAATGACTACTGCATAGAGTCCTACTCCCTAATGGGAGGCCAAGCGCTGGAACCCAGTCTGTCCCCAAAGCCTATGCATTCAACCCTTGGATCCACAGCAAAGGGAGTGTAATGGGAATGCAGAGTCTGGCCCCACCCCAGAACTGGGTCAGAATCTTCATTTAAAAAGCTGCAGCAACTTGTGTGCATGTTAAATCAGAGGGGTATTCTCCCATCACAATGACGTACTAACATTTTTTAAATTACTTCCTGAAAGCCTTCTTAATTCTTCATGCTTACTTCATTAAACTTCATAATTATTCTGTGAAACTCTTGAGAGTGTATTAGAAAGCCCTATCCAATTACTCAACATCATCATCATCATATTTAATTTTCAAGTTGATACTGATGGTAATCCTTTACATATGTCTGGCACTTGCTAATTTAAAGTAATTTTCATATTTGTCAATTGTTCTCAGTTTTGAGTACCACTGAAATTATCTGGAGACTTTATAAAATCTGGTTTTTTGGGTTTTATTTTCAGAGATGTGGACATAATTGGTCTGGAATAAAGCCTGGGCATGGAAACTTTTAGATGCTCTAGAATTGACTCCAATATTCACCCAAGAGTTCAAGAAATTATGGCCCAAGCATCTGTAACTTTTAAGATGCTTCTTGTTGACTTTAATTTGCAGCCAAGGTCAGGAAACAATTGTGTGTATTACATTATTTGCTCCTCACAGTGGTCAAGGGAGGTATGGATTGTGTACACCCTCATTTTTTTTTTACGGATGAGGACACATAAACCTAGGTGAGTTAACCCACCTGGTAACTTAGCTGCAAAAGGTGGAATTGGGCTGGACTCCAGTCTTCCTGACCCTAAAGCCAATGTACCACCTGTAATCCTACACTCAGGTAGCTCAAGGCCTTCAGAAGCCTTATGCAGAGACAGCCTAGTTTCAAAGGGATCTTCCAGTCTTAGAGCAGAGTAAATCTGTGCTGCCAGAGAAAAGAAATGTAACTGTATATTCCTAGAGCATTGAAAGTTAGTGTTGCTGGTAGAGGCTGTCTGTCCTGGTGTCTTGTGATCTAGGGCCAGGCTGAATACTTTAGGCGGTGGAAGCTTCAAAGGGGAATCTGTGAGGATCCAGACAGAGACTAGTGTCTGCGGCCCAGCCAGACCCATAGATAAAGCAGAGGGAGAGACAGAGAAGCAGTACAGGTTGGAGTTGTGTAGACAATCTCGTGCCACATTAGAATGTCGGCAGTCAAGGACAGACCACACCTACAACAGTGGTCTCAAAAGATTATAAGGAACCTGAGAAACTCCCATTGCCTGATGATATCATAACTGTCATAGTGCAACACATTAATCATGTTTGTGGTGATGTTGGTACAATGAACCTACTCTACTAACAGTTGTATAAAAGCATAGCACATGCAATTTTTTTTTTTTTTTTGGTACCAGGAATCTAACTGAGGACCTTGAGCTTGCCGGGCAGGCACGGCCCCAATGAGCTACATCCCCTGTCCTACCACATACAATTTTGCAGTATTTGATAATGAAAGAAACAATTACATTATTGGCTTATATATTTACTATACTATGCTGGTATTGTTATTTTAGAGTATTTCTACTTATATGAAAAGAAGCATGCTGTTTTCTGAGGGCAGCAGCCTCACATAGTTACCCAACTTTTGACTATATCAAGAGGCCACATGGAGTGACTGACCCATACACACCATGATGTTAGCACAATGAAATACCTAATGATCCTTCTGAGAACACATCTCTGATGCTAAGTGACAGATACCTTCTAACTACCTGCTGTCCTTCCTGCTCTTTCACTGCGCTGCACCCCAGATCCACCCCTTGACTTTAAGGGACTGGTTTAAGCTCACCAAACTGTGCCTTTGTAATGCATAAAATATTCAATACACTTTTAAAGGACTCAGAAGTCAGTCACCTACATAGTAAGGTGAGCTATTTCTTTTTTATGCTTTCCAGCCCAGCTGTGTCTGTGCATTTCTGAGCCTTTGGGAATGCTGAAATCCTAGGCTTTCCCTTACTTTAATCCCTTAAAATCTAGTTCCATTTGCCACTGAGCATCATGGAGAATTAGTAATGACTCGTACCATCATCTCAGCCTCCTATGACACACTGCCTTGCATTTGTCTTGATAAGAATCAACCCTAGGTCTCTTCCAGTTCCCTGATTCACACCCTGAGAGTTCACAGTGTCGTTCAAGGAAAGCTTTTATAAATTTTCTGACTCACTGACATTTAAATTACCAAAGTATTGGATGTGCAGCAGTTAAGTTTCCTGGAAACTTTAATTAGACTTCTTGGAACTAGGAAATTTGGTTTTCTAGGATGCTGGTAGATATGAATTCTAAGAAACTGAAATTCAGCCTTTGGAGGCTAAAGGAGCTCAAAATTCAGTGTTTGTTTAGGAAAATCAAAAGCAGTGACAAAAACAAAGATCATCAAGTTCTAGCCCTGGTTTAACTACTAACAGAGCTGTGCTGTTGGCTGTGATGTTTCTCCTCTAGTTCAGTAAGTGCTACACTTTGAATGTGACTTGAATGTGTCCCGCAAATGTTCATGTGGTAAAAGCTTGGTCCCCCACAGGACAGGTTAAGAAATCATGGAACCTTTGAGGTGAGGTCTAGAAGAAGGTGGCTACATTATATGAGACTTGACTCTTGGAAAGAATTAGTATAGTTCTTGTGGCAACCCAGTCAGTTTCCAAGAGAATGAGTTGCTATAAAAAGAGCAAAATTGGCCCCTCCCTGGCTTCCTGTCTCTCACACACGTGTTCCTATCACAGTGCCATCCCCCATGTTGTATTGTGGTCAAAAGAGCCCTCACCAGGTGCTGAGAAGATGGGCTGACAAATCGTGGACTTTCAGCTTCAAACTGTGATCTAAATAAACCTCTTTATTTTCTAAGTACTCAGTTTTAGGTATTTTATGACAGAAACAGAAAGAGGACTAATATAATGAGGAAGCTGGAACCAAGCTCTAAGGAAACTTCCAGCTCAGATGCACA